CCTGGATCCCTTTCTGCCTGCCCATAAGCACAGGGAAGCCTGCTCGGAGGCACTAACAGGAGCTGTGGGGATACTAACAGGGGGCTGCAGGGCCAGTTCTGTGTGCAGCACTGACACTGACAGTACTGCACATGATAAGTGCTGCTCTGGCTTTAACAAAGCAAATGTGTACTGATAAACTGGAGCAAGAGGAGAATAAAGCTAATGTGAGCAACAGGCAGACATGGACACAAATGTGAAGAGGCAAAGGAAAATGTGCCTGTAAGGTCACTGTGTTGGAGCAGTCTTTCTAAAGGAGAGATGACTCTGTCCATAACTACCTAATAAACAGGTTCAACAGACTAAATAGCTGGGGGATAAGGACGTGAGAGGTAACCTGCAGACATTTGCCAGTGAAGTAATTAACCACTGGAGTAAATGACTGGGGCTTTGGCAGATGCTCCTTCTAGGCAATATTTAAAGTTTCTTGAAATTGTTATTTTGTACAACAGACAGTCGTGGGTGTAACCAGACGTTATTACTGGAAGCCCTTGTCATTAATGTCACATGGAGGGAGGAAACAGGTCTGTCAAGTGCAGTATCCTGTCTCTAGCAGGGCCCAAAAAGCCGTGAGATGAATGAGATTACAGCAAGTGTAGCTGCTGCCTCCAGCTTCCCAGTTTCCATGCACTCTGCAAGGCAGATGTCATTTCTGTGTGAGCAGGTCTGGTGCTGCATTTAGCATCTTCAACATGTTTGTGTGGCCAGCTGAATATATTTTATCTGTGTGAGCATGCATAACAACTGTGAACATGTGTTCAGCCTTGCTACTGGATGAATTGGTGAACACAACTGCTGCAGCAGCCCCACCTCTATCCAGTTACAGAATTTGGCAACTGTGACCACTGTTATCATATGCAATTTGGACACCTTCCTAAAGAGCTGCAGAATTAAGACCACTACAGACTTCAGATTTAGCAGCACTGAGGTCTGCCCCCAACTTCTGTAACTTTTAAGGCTAAGAAGATCAAGTCATCATGGCTTGGAAGAAGAGGGGAAGCAGGTAGGGAGCCTGGGTGGCTTACTTTGAACTTTGCATATGGAATGGCTAAGGCCCCCTTCTTGCTCCCCGGTATGGAAATGCCTGACTGTCTTGCAGGGTCCTGGAGGCATGGGGTTTATTCCGTATGCCTATGAGACTCAGACAGAGCTGTATTTGCAAGGGCAAATGGCTGTAGTATAGAGGTTTTACTCCACCTGCTGCCTCTGGAGGGCAAACAAATTCTGCAGTATTACTTTGCAGCTATCACTTACACATTGATGCAATCATATTTGCTGTCGCTCTTTGGTGGTCTGGGAACCACAGTGCTGCCAGTTTTGTCGGTGAAAAGATGATAAGGGGCTGTGCCAGTGCACAGAGGCATTGCCCAATAAACAGGTACCAGAAGCTCTGGGAACCCAAGCTCAGGAACTTCAGGACACTAAACATCCGGATGATGCTACCCATCATGTTCAGCCACGCACTCAGGATCACCTGCAGCAAGCAGAAATAGCCTGAAAGGTAGAACTTAATGTAACAGAGTAGCATCAGCAGAATCTCAGATGCACTACAGGAGACACTGGGAGTTAGTGCTGCATGGAAAGTGGCCTGCAGACCACCTTACCCCTTTAAGACACTGAAAGATGCTCCTGATCCAACAGTGAGTTACCTGTCTCCCTTAGGGAGCAAGGTGGCTGTCCTGGCCCTACGTGAGAACTACAATGCCACCTAGCAAGACAGCAAATGCTGTCATAGAATTCATGAGAAATCCAAAGTTCACTAATTACACTCTGTCTGCAAGTTTGTGCAATCACCCATATTTTACTCTAACAATCCGAAGATCATGGCAATGCTTCATCCAGCATATTGATCCTGCAAATGCTCTTCTATACCACTAGCATGCTAGCACTTATTCTACAACAGTTGTTTCTGGTAAGACTGTGGAGATAATCCAAGCTGGCCTAGCACAGACCAGGCTCTGAGCACACAAGGGTCCCTTGCTTGGACCCTGGCCTGCTGCTCCTTAAACTAGGTAGGCAAACAAAATAGCTGTGCTAACATTTTTCCATAGCAAACCCTACCCAATTACAGCATGCTCTTCACAGACTCAGCTCACACACCTGCTCATAGGCAAGTAGGGATGCAACATTATTCTGGCTCTTCCTACTGCTCACCACCTCAGAGGTGATGTGACAACTATTACTGAACTAGGACAGAGCTTTCAACATGCTCATCCTCTGCAGCATTTGGCAAGACTCCCACTCACAGTATGCATGTCAGTGCTTTGTGCCCTCAGGGAAACAGAATAGTTCAACTCACAGCACATCTGAGCCCCACGCTGTCAAGAACCCATGTTGCCACCAGACCAAATGGGATTGAGATGACGAGGTACACTATTGAGAGCCAGTTGACCATCTTCAGGGACATATGGAAGTAGGAAGCTGTCTTATCAGCCACAGGAGCAAACGTCAGCCACAGCTGCAGAGTAGAGAGCAAAGACAGGTAAGTATGAACACTTCCAGCAGAAACAGAAATTCAACATCCTCACAGACCCTTGGCTATGCATCAGTCAAGAGATATTATTCCGTGTTGTCCTACAGACACACAATGGTTAGGAAAGGGCCTAGAAATCTGCATTATTTAATATATCAGAACACATAACAGGTAAGCACAACGGGTACTTTAATAGCTATCCATCCTTTCCTTCCAGTGCATATCTGAAAATACTTCCCTAAAGCTTGTTTTAGGCACTGGTTTCATGAGGTTGCTGTTTGTCTTCTGCCAGGAATCACAAAGCTTGCTTTGATCCTCAGATTAGGTCCTGAGATCATGCCCACAAGAAAGAGACATTTTTGTGGATTTTCTGTGACAACGCTCCTTTCGGTCCTTTTAAAAAAGACTAGCCTAATCTAAAAGCAGGTTTCAATAATGTGGATGTAAGCTGCTCCATTGCTAGAAGACGATCTTGCAGCTGACGAATACTCAAGATGATAAAGTCTGCAGAAATGTGAACAAAACCTTCAGCTATTGTTTTCTACAAAAGAACTCCAGCCACTGTCTCTTTCCAGGTACGCCTCTCTGCCATCACAAACTTCCTCTTCAGATCCTGCATCCTGCAGACAGTCAGCTGCAGAGTTAATGTGTAACTGAAATAGGGCTTGTGTAACCTCAGGGAAAGGTGTATCCCTACACCCTGCCACCTGTTATTTCCAGGGTTCCTATTTACGTCTTAAATGCTGGAGACCATAAAAGCTACAACATTAAATGGAAGCAGAAGTGGAGATGCACTTTTCTTCTTTCTCAGTGGCATTGCGAAAAGAGCCACATGCCAATCACTGCTTACCTAAGTTTCTCTCCTAGCAGGGATGCAATGAGTAAACGGCAGCAACAGAAAGTTTGAGTGTATTACCAGCAGACTAGGAAGGACTCCTAGCACCAGCCCTTTCCTCTTCTCTGCAAGAAGCTGACATGCCAAACCTCCTGCATTCAACACAAAGCTCACATTAACACACACCCATGTGGGATCAGTCACAGGTCTGGCAGGGGGTGGATTTGATGTTTACTCAGCTTCTACAATCAAATGGATGGATGATGATGTTGAGTGTCAAAGGAAACACAAAAGGAGGCTACTCCAGGTCATTGGGAGACCTAATAAAATAAGCTTTTTAAAAATTCCTTGAAATAATGTATTATAGTGGATTGATGTTACCATCTTGTCTCAGGAAGAAATTTCATCCACCTTTGTTTTTCCAGAACTCCATCCGATTGGGATGGGAATTTACATGTTTAATGCTAATGTAACTCTTTAAATATCTGAAGCACAAGTAAGGCATTAGCACCAGTTTGATTATGAGATGCTAAACTGGTGACAAACAAAACCCAGCTGTGCTACTTCCAGCAACAGCAATTCTCAGTTCCTCACTGCCTTCCAGATAGTGGTGGTGGTGATGAAACACTGTACTGGAAAAAATGAATTAAAGAGATGATACATTTTGAAAGCAGCTTCAGGTACACTTTTATCCCCTCCAGAAAAGACATTCACCCATGTGTGACATCATTAGTAGAACGATACCATAAGTATCAGCATAGCATTTTGTGTTCAGTGGCTGCACACATCTATGCAAGCTGGGATCAAGCACTCGGGCATGTTTCTGTCAGACCTCGTAAAACCATTCCTTGCTGAAAACCAGGTATTTGAGCTGCCCTGTATTTCTGTCCTAGTAAGAGCTTCAGTCCTAGTGATATGCAGACCGGATCCGCTTCACAGGGAGGTTTGCTGTCTCCCAGGTGCCCAGGCAAAGGACCTCCTAGACAGACTTCACGCCCTTGTCAGGCCTTCAGATTATTACCCACTGCTGGTCTTTCAGGTGGGCAGTGAAGAAATCACAATAAGCAGCTCAAAATCAATTAAGAGGGATTTTAGGGCCCTGGGGCAGTTGATCAAGGGATCACGTTGTGTTCTTACCTATCCCTCCAATGAGAAGGATGAATGAGGAAGTTATCTGGAAGAGTCATCAGGTCAACGCATGGCTCCAGGATTGGTGTCAGCGTAATGGATTTGGGTTTTTTGATCATGCGTTGGTATATAAGTCACCAGGTCTGCTGGCAAGAGATGGGATGCACTTATCCCAGAGAGGGAAGAGGATCCTGGGGCAGGAGATAGCAGAGCTCATCAAGAGAGCTTTAAACTAAGGAGGAAGGGGTTAAAACTGGCCCACTGAGAATAAGTCCAGAGAAAACATGCCAGAGTCTGTAGGATGGCATGCTAGCAAAAACTCTCACTGCCTCATCTCAGTAGAAATGGGGAATAGAGATGCAATGGGAAACCAAGGGGCAAGAGGCAGGGATGCTTTAGAAACCCTGGAAACATTTGAGAAGGTTCAGATAGGGATTAGTACCCACTCCCTCAAAAAGGTGTTGGGATTGTTAGCTCACCTGAAGTGCATCTATACGAATGCATGCATCATGGACAACAAGCAAGAGGAGCTTGTAGCCATGGTGCAACAGGAAAATTTTGACACTAGTGACTATCACTGAAACGTGGTGGGATGCCTCATACGACTGGAATGCCACAATTGATGGCTACAAGCTTTTCAGGAGGAACAGGCAAAGAAGGAGAGGTGGAGGGATGGCCCTGTATATAAAGAATAGCTATGAATGTGCCGAACTGGAGTATAGTGATGACAGGGTTGAGTCTGTTTGGATTAGGATTAAGGGCAAAGACAACAAGGCTGATGTGGCTGTTGGAGTCTATTACAGACCTCTCAACCAGGATTATAAGGTGGATGAGTCTTCCTATAAACAGCTGAGTGAAATCTCTTGGTTGCTGGCACTTGTTCTTGTGGAGAACTTCAACTTCCCCGATGTCCGCTGGAACTACAATGTAGCAGAGAGGGAACAGTCTAGGAGGTTCCTGGAATGTGTTGAGGATAACTTCCTGACACAGCTGGTCAGTTAACCAACCAGGGAAGGAGCCCTGCTGGACCTGCTCTTTACAAACGGGGAAGGTCTGGTAGGCGATGTGATGGTTGGAGGGCGTCTTGGGCACAGCAATCATGAACTTATAAAGTTTTCTGTACTTAGAGGTGCCAGGAAGGGGTGCAGCAAAGCTGCCATTTTGGACTTTAGTAGAGCTGATTTTAACTTACTTAGCAGTCTTATTGGCAGAGTTCCTTGGGAATCAGTACTGAGGGGTCTGGGAGTCCAGGAAGGCTGGACGATCTTTAAGAAAGAGGTCTTGAAGGCACAGGAGCACGTCATACCTGTTAGCTGTAAATGCATCTGGAGGCACAGAAGACCTGCTTGGGTTAACAGGTAGACAACATCCACAGCCTTTCCCTCATCCAGTAAGCAGGAGATCAGATTAGTCAAACAGGCTGCCCATGGCCTGGAAGGGCATATACTTGCCTGGATTAGGAACTGGTTGGATGGCTGGTTCCAAAGAGTTGTGGCGAATGGAGTTAAATCCAGCTGGTGGC